TCGTGAGGTACCGTATGAATCCTGATCATCGGAATCATGTCAACGTCAAGCCTCCCTCGCTCGTCATCATCAAAGGCATAAGCCAAGTGGGTTTTGTTCACGACACTGACAAGGAAGTCCACCTCCTTTTCAGTAAGCGACTCTTCCTCTCCAATGATCATATTCTTAATCCTCTCCTCCGTCAATCGACACGGTGCCTTCGCACTCTCTTCTTTCCACGTCCTGATCCATTCTCTCTTCTCTTTATAATACACTTGTTCCTCTTGCGTGATCAAGACGGGCACTGGTCGGGCTTTCTCACCTACTCTCTTGTACTTACGTTTCGCTCCGACTCCAAGTCGTCCACCTCTAAAAAAAACCCTTGCTTGGCTTCTGGCTCCGCCAATGCATCACCCTCAGAAGACCTGTCGGGCCGATACGTAAGATACATCCTACCAGTCCCGCCTTCTCCTGCCACAATCTCTGTCAATGTTTGGACCAACTTGGGATCCATAGACGAGTCTGTCGCAACGAACTCGATTGCTTGAGAGATGTTGGGCAGAGCAAGAGAAAATTCATGGGGATTGCTCTCTTCTCCGAGGGATTCCTTCTCCCTCCTGAGTCGTTCGGATTCCGTGATGGAGTAGGACCCCGGATTGAGTCGGTTCCTTGAATTGGTTGGTCCTGTGTTCTCACACTTCAGCACCTCGTAATAGCCACTTACGGGGTTACACAAAACCACGATTATAGTATCATCGTGCTTATTAAAGATGATGGATTCTGATCGACATAGAAAAGCTCTGCCCAGCAACACGGCATGCTCAACCCTGGGTAGCACATAGAAATAAGAACGGACCTTGACTTTACCAACTTGTACCGTCATGTCACTCGCCGTTCCGCAAAAGGGAGTTATCCCACTTGCACCCACCAGAAATCCAGTATCCGCTCGATTGATGTTAACGCCTGCCCCCAGGGCTTCTCTCTCACGTATGATGTTCATCTCAGCTCCATCGTCGATGAGCGCCGAGTATTCGCACGGCCCAACTTGCACCTTCAACAACCCAGTTGCTACACAGTGCCAGTCCATTTTTGTCCCAGGCGGAGCCTAACTAATCTCTTGAGGAAAGATATCACTCATCTTAACCGTTATAACCTTTTCCCTTGACAATCAGTGTCTGAACTCCTCTCGAATTTTTGGTGACGAGGCCAAGAATTCCTTAAGCGTGAACAGATCAAGCTGGCTTTCCAAAAGCCGGTCCACGATTTGCTCAATATCCAGCCCCTGCTCTACCGGAATCGTGTAAACTTGCTTCTTCTTTTTCAACTCACCTTCCCCAATATCGGCCTTGCCCGTTTCTGGCTCCCTCTCCATGGCCCGTTGTTTGGTCTGTCGCTCATCCTCGCCCCGCAACAATTCGTCCTCCTCACCATCGTCTTCTTCAATTGAAACTGTCTCGATTTCCCGAGGCTGACTTGGTCCTGCTTCTGGCGCTGCCCTTGGCCGCGGCGGCCTTCGAGCCCTCCGGGCTCGTGGGAGGCCAGCGGTGGCAGGTCGCTTGAAAGCAGGACGGGACAAAATTGTGGCGGCCATCAAACGCCCTGCCTTCGACGATCCAGGCTGTGAAGCGGTAACATCAGTAAGATCTCCTTGGCCGTCTCTGTCCCATCCTCCAAACAGAAAAACTTGGGGAAGCCCGGGCCACTCTTCATTCATGTCGGCACATACTTAAACGAAAGTTTCCCTGCATCGAGTCATTTTTCTGACCACCAACTGGGCTCGATGCAGTATCTCTTCCTGCCCTTTACTCAAACCTTCATTTCGGGCCTTGGCATCCTTAATTGTCAATGATTCCATTGTCGCTTCCAACTCAATCTGTTCGACTTCTTCCGGAGAAGCCAGTCGAAAAGTTGCTGGAAGATCTCGCCCCATACGTCGGAAAGCTTCCTTTCTCATTCCTCCCTCCACATTGGGATCGATGAGGTTCCCTTCGAAGTCGTAGACCTCGCCTCGAATATTCGTATTTATAACCTTATCGTTTTCATCTTTGGTAACGGTCTGACAAAACCGTATCCCATGTCCATCTTGGCCACAATACTTACAAAACCAATTCTGGCAATTGCCTCGGCCGCCCCCATTTCCTCTGCCTCCCCCATCGCCTTGTCCTCTACCTTGACCTCGGCCTCGGCCTCCTGCCTGAGGTTGGGGTTGTTGAGGAGGGGCTTGAGCCGCTTGTTCATGGTTGCTTCCTTGTCCACCTCCTCCATTATTCTTCCGCTGCTTTTTACCAGTGCCTTGCCCTCCTCGTATCTGATTCAGGGCCTTCCGTTCTGCCTTGGTCAATTTTCGAGGGGGCTCCACTTCCTCCTCATCTTCCTCTTCACTGTTGCTACTGCTCACCTCCTCCATTGCGGGAGCTTTCCCCTTCCTTTTTCCCCCTTTCGTCTGGACCATCATCACTTGTAGCTTTAACCTTTCCTCCTTCATGTCAGCCATCATATTCCGCATGTCAATCAGGGTTTTGAAAACAGCTTGGTCCTTGTCCGCGCTTACCCCTTCCTTTTCGCGGTCCTCCTTTTGCTGCTTCAGGAGACGGTAAAGCATCTGGTCGAAGCTTCTAGCCAACAAATTCTCCTTGATCTTTGGCCAGTCGTATCGACCAGTCATATCCTTCATCAGTTCTCGCTGCTCAACTTCTGAAAAAAATTTCGAGGAAGATGAGGCACCGATCCTTATCAGGAAGATCAGGCACTAAGCGCTCGACTCGTTCAAATTCTGTGAGAAACTGCTTGGCAGTACCAAACTTCCGACGACTAACTTTCCGTAAGTCCGCCAGGTCGAGCAGTTGATCCCCCAATTGGTACTTGTCCAATAACACGGCGACCCTGCATACCACAAGGATAGACGACCAACCCCACCCCTGTGATAAGCAGCGATCGCTCCCCACCATAGGCGAGGTCTCAACAGGATTACGACACCATCCTCCTTTTCGGTGATAGTGTAGCCATCACTCTTTTCAAGGAAAATGACATCATCTCGTTGTGGACCAGTAACCAAGTTCCGGCACGAGCCTCACTATCACTTACAAGGCTCACATCTTTCAGGAATATCAAAACACAACAAAGACTAGGTATTAGATATAAACTTATTATACTTATTAGACCATGTGCCTACAGAACGAATGCTTATCGTTCGGAAAGTCACATGTTCCAAAATTTTACACACATTTTACACGTTAAATCACAACTTTGCACAAATGATTCAC